TACCAGGCACCTCCACGCATGCTCCTTGTAGGGGACGGAGCTACCCCATCGCACTGAAGGGTGGAGCGACCTTCGCTCAAACAGTGAACACCACATCCACTGCCCTGCACAACACATACGCAGCAGGTTGTGTTTCCTCCCTGCAGTCCTTCAAAACTGCACTCTGGCCCTTCTTGCTCATGAGCTCCTTCCTTTTTGCTTGGCACATAGCCCGAAGCTCTGCTGGCGTCTTACTGTCCTTGTCTGGCAACGAAGTGATAAACATCAGGAGCTGCTCAGCAACGTCCCTATCTTCTCCAGGAACACTAGTGATGCGATGGCATCTGCTTTTGCTTGGGTAGTGCACTGCCAAGCTTCTCACAAGCCCATGGCATGTTTCCGAAACTATGTGTCCATGCTGGCTGCCACCTGCCTGGGCCATCTCTTTGCCTTGAACTCAGCCCAGTGTGGCCACTGCTCCCGCGGGAGCTTCTGGCGAGATGCCCACAAACAAGGGGCGCAAACGCCTGACTTTGCTAGAAGCACACCTCCCTTGCCCTTGCGAACGTGCCACGGAGCGTGGTTTGGCTCTGGGAAGCGAGGTGCACGACAGACTGAGCAGGCACCGCCTTTGGTTATCCCTGTGGGATTCTGAACTTTCTTGTTTGGCTTCTCCGAACGCTTTCCCACTGTGTCCCTGAGCTGGCTCTCGACTTCAAGCAACTCGCTCAAAGTCGCCTGCAAGAACAAGCGCCGCAGCCGGCGGATGCACAATTCCTTTTCCTCTACCATCTGGGCCGATATGCAACAAATTTATTCATTCAACTCAGTGTTCTAAGAACACTCGTACAAGCAAATCACAATGGGCACACCAACCCAAATCCTGAAAAAAACTCTTCATGACATCCATACAGCCAACTCTGTCCAAAACCCAGACTGCATGGGCACACTACTTAGACACGACTTTAGTCAAGCAAATGCGACTTAACCCAGCCCCCTAGTATAAAGTGTGCAACTATGGCTCAGAACCTTTGAAAAATCGAATTGAACAAGTGAGACAGTCACGAGGCCTCGCTCAGTATCCACTCAAAAGAGCATCGCTTTGATGTAGATCCGAACTGGTGACTTCCACGTAGATGTCACATTGGCAACTGACTTCACACTCCTCAAAAGATGTAGGTTTTGATTTGGATACACTTACAGAACGGCAAGTCGGAGAGACAGTCGGTGATTGTCTTCCTTCCATTATGCTCATGGTATCAAATCAGATTGACGATTTGCAATGATACACTTACAGCGTTTCAGGTCAGATAGACATCCGGTGAATGACTTCCTCCCTGGTTTGCATGGTATCCTCATAGTCGTTCAAAGAAATCACCACTGGTGATAACCTCTCCATCCACGATGATCCCAGCTGCCCTGAGCATCCCACCGATCATCTTCTCCCTTCTTGGACTTTCCCTTGGACTTGCTCTTTCCCTTCCCCTTTTCAGAAGGTTGAGGTACTTCGCGACGTTCTTGCGTTAGCGCCGGCCTCCAAGATGTTCCAGATTGGCCTCCTCCTTTGGAATGTCCTCGGGATGATGAAGAAGTTGTACCTTCTGTTGCATGTGCGTTGGCGGCAAGATCTTCCTGCAAAGCTTGCTCAAACACACCGGTAGCACTGGATGGTGATTTATCATGTGGTCTGGCTTTTGGAGCAGCCTTCGCCTTGTTCTCATCTGCTGATGAGGGCCCGAAACTCTTAGGTGCTGTTGAAGGTTTTGGCTCCTCACTTGGTGCTGACGACGGCTTGGCCTCGGTTCTGGGTGTAGATGCTGGCTTTGCCTCAGCTCTTGACGAAGATGCTGCTTTCGCTTCAGACTTAGTCGTTGATGTTGACTTAGCTGTTGCCTTGGCTGCCTGCTTCTTCTTGCCCTGAATCTCCTTGGCCCTATCTCCAAAGCCTAGACGATTGGTAAGAGCTTGAACATGCTTATGTTCTACCACGCTCATCCATCTCTCTGTATGTCCAACGTTGGGGTTTCTGGCCATTGACCCTATGACTTCCTGAGCTTGTGGGGGCAACCTGATTTCATGTTGATCAATGATCAACAGAATAGACTTCTCCCACTTGCTCTTCATTCTCGAGTACATGATGTCCAGAGGATCGATCACCTTGTGGTAGGGTGATGTAATGTCGGTTCTAAAGTAAGAATATGTCCGACACCCATAAATCGCATGGATGCACTTCTGTACCAATTCAGTCATTGCGCTGGCTTTCTTCGCTTTCAACTCCTCAAGCTGGGCATCAGTCAAGTTGGTGGAGTATTCGAAGTTGCCATATTCCTCCTTGAAGGATTGCGGAGTATGACCAAATGATAGGATCACGAGTGCCACCTTGCAAATGAATTGCTCTCCTCTGAATCGGTGCCAGGCCTCCTCAGTTGTAATATTGTTGTCGTTGGCAAAGATTAACATCATGTCATCTGTTGGATCCAATGGTCTCCCATCGTCATCGATTTCAGTGGAATCCCCTGTACCGAACTTGCTTATCACATCCAGGCGCTTCCTTTTCCAATTTGCTTTGAAGTCGGTAAGGCTGGTGCAATAGTAGCTCTTGTACATCAGGGAGATCATGTTCAGCACACATTTGACCACATACCTATCCATCAAACCCGATGCATTCATGGAGACGTCCTGACAGTAGGCTCTCTCTTGATGCGCATAGATTCGAGGTTCCGGTACTCGACAATAGATGGGGAGATCTTCGTTGTCTCTTCCTTCTTCGGGATTGAACTCGGTCGCTCCATGCTGTGCATAGTATCCCGGTTCATCACGATCTGTCGGTCGATTCGCCTCCGGATGTAAGTCGTCGGTGACGTCTTCATCCTCGGGCTCACCATCTTGACGTTTCTTCCCCTCATATTGTTGTGTGCTCCTCTGGATCTCGATGATCACGTTTCGTTCGTCTTCATCTTCTAGATCAGAATCACGACCGTAGTCGATCTCGTCCTCATTGAAAGATGGGGTCTCGACATTGTCACTCTTGAAGTTCTCTGCACCATCAGACGGTTTGGAAGGATCTGGATTGTCCATGTCCTCGTCGTCATCAGCTGCTTCAGTTTGAGCGATGTCTTCTTCCCAAGCCTTTCTGATCTCGTCCATAGTGGCCTGGTCCAATATATCTTGATCATCATGTTCAGGCTCCCTCTTTTCCTTCTTTTCCTCTTCATCGTCGCTCACAAGATCAACGGGTGAATCGGAAATGACAGTGTTGCGAATACCACACGAGAGTAGCCTGCCTTGACAAGATAGACACACGGACAAAGATGAAGAAGTCAAATGCATACATGATGGACACAAAATATTGCCATCCACGTTGCGATACCCTTCACATGTTCTGGAGATGATTTCGTCCCAAGTTTTCTCACTGATGGAATCCTCGATCAGCTCTCCATTGTTATCGAATTGTACTTCATCGATAAGGGACACGAGCTTTTGGACGTTATCATCTGTCGCCGAGGCTGACTTCGTGACTTCGTCGGCTCTCTCGAGGATGGTATGCTTCTGAGCAACCCAAAGTCCATGACGTGCCGCTAGAACAACTTGCTCTCCAGTGCTTCCCAGCAGGAGTCTCCTCCATGCCTGAACGTGGTCGTCCCAATACCAAGCACCTCGTACACATCTCCATGGAACTTCTCTAAAAACAACAGTGTAGGAATTCTCCGAAATTCTTCCCCCAAGCTTCCTCAAAGTCATGATTGGAACATAAAGGCAAACGGGCATTCCCACTCTTGGCCATCTTGATCTCAGAATCTTTGATGATCGATCATCCCACGGCGCAAAGTGGTTGAAGAATACACTACCTCTATATCCCTCCGTTCCACCAGGGACAATTCCTAGTTTCATGATTGACTCAATATTGGAAAGCGATGTCATGTGAAAGCTTCCTCCAAGCTGCATTGCCACATTCTCTGGAATGAGATGTGAAGTCCACACAGGATATATTGACACATCCTCTTCAAGAACAGTCTCTCTTCCAGAATTGTGAGAGGCAACAGCTCGAATTGCACAAGGAACGATCCAACGTTCATGCTTCAGAAATGACGGTGCGTCTGTGCCGTAAAACATGAGGTTTGCCCAGTATTGCCTTTCCTCTTCGAGTGAGACATCCTCCTTTGAGATGCGAATGGCGGCAATCTGATAGCGTACTCTGTTCTGCAACTTCTTTGCATGCCACATCGCCTTGCATAAATACTGGTATCGCTCTGTCTTGACATCTTGACGATGCCGATCACCTGAGATAGTAC